CCTTCTACCTCTTCCCCCCTGCTTGTGATCACTTTCTCTCTCAAATAAATAAAATCTTTTTTAAAAAACGGATTACAAATATATCCTTTATTGTAGATTGTTGTCAAAGATTAAAAGCTGGATAGAAGACTTGTCTTTAACATTATTTAAGAATTAGTAATAAAACTTCTCTAAGATTGTTTAAATACTATTGGTGACTGATTTGGGGATATAATATTACTATTTTTTTCTACTGGTTACATAATAAGTAGCAGAATCTAATTGAATCCCTATATTATACCACTTATAAAAATTAACTTGAAATGGATTAGAGACTTAAATATATTAAATATAAGACTTGAAACTGTGAAACTTCTAGAAGAAAACATAGGGAAAAAGCTCCTTGACATTACTCTTTGTAATAATCTTCTGGATATTGACATCAAAAGCACAAGCAACAAGAACAGTCATTAAGTGGGACTACATCAAACTAAAAAGCTACTGCACAACTAAATAAATAGTCAACAAATGAGAAAGCAGCCTATAGAATGGGAGAAAATATTTGTGAATTATGTGTCTGATAAAGGGTTGATGTTCAAAATATATAAATAATGGATACAACGCAATAGAGAAAAAATGAACCAATTAAAATGTCAGCAATGGAACTGAATATTTTCCCAAAGAGAACATATAATTCGACCACAGGTACATGAAGAGGTGTTCAGCATCACCAATTGGCAGAGAAATGCAAATCAAAACTACAGTGAGATATCACCTCATGCCTGTTAGAATTGCTTTCATCAGAAAGACAAGAAATAACAAGTGTTGGCAAAGATGTGGAGAAAAGGAAACACTTGTGAACTGGTGGTAGAAATGTAAATTGGGGCAGCCACTATGGAAAACAGTGTGGAGATTCATTAAAAATTAAAAATAAGTATCATATGATCCAGTAATGTCATCTCTGGGTATGTATTCAAAGGAAATGAAAGTAGAATCTGGGAGAGATATATGCATCCTAAGTTCACTGCCACATTATTTTTAATAGCCAAGCTATGGAAACAAGCCAAGTGTTTGTCAATAGATGAATGGAGAAAGATGTGATAAATATATAAAAAGGAATATTCAGCAATGAGAAAGAAGGAAATCCAGCCATTTGCAAAACTTGGATGAACCTTGAAGGCATTATGCTGAGTGAAATAAGTTAGATAAAAAAATACTGTGTAATATCATTTATATGTGGAATTTTAAAAGGCCAAACTCAGGAAGTCTTAGGAAGATGGGAGGATCCTGAGCTCACCTCATCCATGTGGACACACTGAGATAATATACTATGTGACTAACTCTGAAAATGACAGAAGACTGGCAGAACAGACCTCCCATGACTAATCATAGAAAGAGGGCCACATCAAAAAGGTTGTGAAAGAAGGGGTGAAAACATGATTGAGAACCAAACCCCCATCACACAATAGGAGGAACATCACAAGCACAGAGAAGCAAGAGGATCAGAATCCATACCAGGCAACCCTGGCACAAGAGACTCAAACTGGAAGACAAATCCCCACAACATCTGGCTTTGAAAATAAATGGGGCTTAACTTTAGTAGCCTCAACTTCAACAAAGATATAAAATATAAAAGAATCAATCAGAGGTGAAGAATTTAACAATTGAAATAAAAAATACACTGGAGGAAATCAAGACCATATTAGAGGAGGCAGAGGAACTAACAGTGATCTGGAAGACAGAATAATGGAAAGCCATGAAGCTGAACAGCAAAGAGATGAAAGAAAAACAAAAAATGAGAATAGGTAAAGGGATCTCTGTGACATCATCAGGCATCATAACATTTGCTTTGTAGGGATTCCAGAAAGAGGAGAGAGAAAGGGGGCAGAAAACTTATTTGAAGAGATAATAGCTGAAAACCTCCCCAATCTGGGGAAGGAAACAGACATTCAGATCCAGGAAGCACAGAAGACCCTAACAAGATGAACCCAAGGAGGTCCACACCCAGACACATAATAACTGAAATGGCAAAAAGTACTGATAAAGAGATATTTTTAAAAAGCAGCAAGAAAAAAGGAAAAGTTATGTATATGGGAAATACCATAAGGTTATCAGCTGTTTTCTTAGGAGAAATTTTGCAGACCAGAAGTGTATTCAATGTATTCAATGTGCTGAAAGGAAAAAACCTACAACCAAGAATATTCTGCCCAGAAAAGTTATCATTCAGAAGGAGAGATAGAATTTCCCAAACAAAAACCAGCTTTATAAAAAAATATCAAAGGAAATTCTTTAACTGGAAAGAAAAGGCCATAACTAAAAGTAAGAAAATTATGAAAGGAAAAAATTTCACAGTTAAAAGGAAATATAGTTATTTTATTTTATTTTATTTTTTTCAGTGTTCCAAAATTCATTGTTTATGCACCACACCCAGTGCTCCATGCAACACATGCCTTCCTTAATACCCACCACCAGGCTCACCCACCACCCGACTCCCCTCCCCTCCAAAACCTTCAGTTTGTTTCTCAGAGTCCACAGTCTCTTATGGTTTGTCTCCCCCTCCGATTTCCCCCAACTCACTTCTCATCTCCTTCTCCCAATGTCCTCCATCTTATTCCTTACGCTCCACAAGTAAGTGAAACCATATGATAATTGACTCTCTCTGCTTAACTTATTTCACTCAGCATAATCTCTTCCAGTCTCGTCCATGTTGATACAAATTTGGGTGTTTGCCTTTCTGATGGAGGCATAATACTCCATTGTATCTATGGACCATATCTTCTTTATCCATTCATCCGTTGAAGGGCATCTTGGTTCTTTCCACAGTTTGGTGACTGTGGTCATTTCTGCTATGAACATTGGTATACAGATGGCCCTTCTTTTCACTACATCTGTATCTTTGGGGTAAATACCCAGTAGTGCAATTGCAGGGTCATAGGGAAGCTCTATTTTTAATTTCTTAAGGAATCTCCATACTGTTTTCCAAAGTGGCTGCACCAACTTACATCCCCACCAACAGTGTAAGAGGGTTCCCCTTTCTCCACATCCTCCCCAGCACTTGTTCTTTACTGTCTTGTTAATTTTGGCCATTCTAAATGGTGTAAGGTGTTATCTCAATATGGTTTTGATTTGAATCTTCCTGATGGCTAATGATGATGAACATTTTTTCATGTGTCTGTTAGCCATTTGTATGTCTTCTTTGGACAAGTGTCTGTTCATGTCTTCTGCCCATTTTTTGACATGATTATCTGTTTTGTGTGTGTCGAGTTTGAGGAGTTCTTTATAGATCTTGGATATCAGCCCTTTGTCTGTAGTGTCATTTGCAAATATCTTCTCCCATTCCGTGGGCTGCCTCTTTGTTTTGTTGGCTCTTTCCTTTGCTGTGCAGAAGCTTTTATCTTGATGTGGTCCCAAAAGTTCATTTTCGCTTTTGTTTCCTTTGCCTTATAGTTAATGCAGTAGGTTAATCACTTTTAAGTCTGGTATGGAGGTTAAAACTCAAAAGAAGTAAAGTCAGTTACATCTACATCTAGCCAAGGGATACACAAAATAAAAAGATAAAATATGACATTGTATACATAAAACATGGAGGGGGGAGTAAAAATTTAGTGCTTTTAGAGTGTTTAAACTTAAGGAACCATCAACTTTATATAGATCGCTATGCACATAAGTTGTTATGTATGAATTTAAAGGTAACCACAAATCAAAAACCTATAATAGCTATACAAAATAATAAAGAGAAAGGAATCTGAGTGTAACACTAAAGAAAGCCATCTTACTACTAGGGAAGAGAGCAGGAGAAGGAAGGAATAGAAGAGACTTACAAAAACAATCAGAAAACAGTTAACAAAATGGCCATAAGTAATTACCTATCAGTAATTACTTTAAATATAAATGGACTAAATGCTCCATTTAAAAGGCACCCACAGCCGTCAGGATGTCCGAGCAGCCTAAAAGGCACCCACAATAGGGTGACTGAATGAATAAAAAAAATCAAGACCTATTTATATGCTGCCTACAGGAGACTCACTTCAGATGTAAGGGCATACACAGACTGAAAGTGGAGGGATGGAAAAAGATATTCCATGCAAATGAAAATCAAAAGGTAGAATGCTTCTTTTAAAGTGGCATGTCTGTGTTTCTTCTTTAATTCTGGCTCCCCTGACCCTCCATACTGTCAAATTGAATTTAGGGAGACTTTCACAGTCAGCTCATATACACTATATTCTTTTTGGGCCAGAGGACTATGATTTGCCCCTTACAATTTATCACCTACTTTGGAGAACTCTTCTTCTTTTGAGATCATTAGTGACAGGTGTCCTCTTACTCTGGTCCAGGTTTTATGTTTTTGTAGTCTTCTGATTATATGAAGTTTGAAGTAATAGGTGCTCCCTCAATATTTGATCAAAGGTGGAGTTAGTATTTGTTTCTCTTTGTCCATATTCTTTTTGTCTGGTTTTAGAAAGGAAAAAAGGAAGAGACAACCTTTCCCTCATTGTAAAACTGGTTTCCTGAAATCATAGCTTTTTGACAGAGATTTGGACAGAGGCAACACGCAATTATTGGAAGAAAAAACATGAAAATATGAGTTAGCAGTCACAGATTCTTGACTTTAAGTCATCTTTTCTCTTAGGGCACACTATTCTCCTCTGTTTGGATCATTTACTCATCTGAAAAATGAGGGGTTGGATTAGCTTCTAAGATCTCTTCTAGAAGGAACTCTGTGATTGTAGGAGAATGGGGTACTGTTTGGGTCCAACATGTCTAGGTTGGCAGTTTATTGGTGTACTTTGTGTCATACTGAACAGCATGTGGATATTAGATTTCTATAGGGAACTGGAAGAGTAGAGCACCAAAGACTAATTTTGGAATTCCCTTATAGGTCAGAAATTGTAAGTATTCCCAATAATGAGTCTTCCTTTTGAATCCAAGAGGAATCTTTTGTTCACATACATAGGTCACATCAGAAAGTAAGCCTTACAAATATAACTACACAAACTTAAAACTTATTTTCACCTTTATAGGTGTTATCTGGGGAGAGGAAACTCTGATGGAATATTTGGAGAACCCAAAGAAATATATCCCTGGAACTAAAATGGTCTTTGCTGGTCTTAAAAAGAGGAGTGAGAGAGCAGATCTTATTCAATATTTGAAACAGGCAACATCTTCATGAAATGCTTTTGCAACTTAGAAAAATATTAGTTATAAGCCAAAATTTTCCAATTTTAAATATTGCATGTTTAAAGAAGTCATTTTAATTTTTCTTGATCAGCCTGTAATAAATTTAACATTTAAAAATAAAAGTTGAAATTTTTTATTGTGTGTAATCTACTGATCAATGCCTTTCCGAGTCTGAATTGACTTTTGTCTGCTCACTAGGGATGAGAATAAGGTCAGCATTGAGGAAGAGAGGGAAGAAAACTGAAATCTTTTGTGCTTCAGTAATCCCTACATGCACAAAATATTTTCTAAACCTAGCAACTGCTATTGATGATGGAAATAATTTCCATGTATTTATTTCTCTGTAATCTATATGTAAATATAGCAGACATTAGCTTTAGTTTTCATCAAGATATATTTGGTTATGTGTTTGTCTTTTATTAGAACTTTATTATATTTGTAGTTTTAACTTTATTACAAGTAACTTTAAAAAAAAGGTCAGGAAAGTGATGTCAAATAATTGATCTTACCTTAGGAATATGATTGGAATGAAAAGCAAATTGCTGACCACAAGTGACATGAAATAAAACCTAGAGAGAAGGAGAAAAGCATGTTCTATGTTAATAAGAATTTATGTCACATAAGATATAATATTTTTGCATTAATCTTTTCATGGTACCTTTCTAATCCTGGGTAATGTAAGGCTGGACTACATGGAGGGATACCATTTACCCTGTAAAAGGGGGAGAAGAAAAAAAATAGCCTTTACCATTGATGTGGAAAGACCTCCCACCTCACATTAAGTGGCTATGAGACATGGCGGAGCAGGTCCATCGCAGGGCCTGTGGGGAAGGGAATAGTGGTTCTGTGTGGTGTGAGGTGGCCCCTGAAATGACCCTGCAGTCCTACAAGCACTCCATTACCCAAATGTATGGCCCAGTGCAAGAAAGAGAAGGTATTTCCTTACCAAGGAGGTGGGTAATGAACTAGTCAGGGGTCATTATGGGTGAGAATATGATGTCTATTATTTAACTGGCAATTCACAATACACCCCTATAATGTAGATTTTACCTTCTCACTGAGACTTGTGCCAGAACCAGCATTTGGATCTTCTGCCCCAATTCCTGGTAACTTTAAACCATGTCATGGGGATAATATGTTAGTTAACTTATTAGCAAACATTACTACTGGGAAGTTACCCTAACCAAAAATCCCAAAGTGAGGGGTACATGGTTGAAAAAGCTGTGATTTCCAGAAGGTTCTATTATGTCAACTAAGTGCTTTGACTCAATTTTAATGCTTCTGGCAAGTGGAAGCTCATTGCCACTGCTGAATAGAAGAGCGTGTCCCTGGAGACCAAATTCAGATGAAGCTGAGCTTGCTACTCTCCTTGGAGAAATTCTTTGATGAGAGCAGAGATATCTGTAGGGACTCCAAGAGTGTATTAGGGATATTACCAGTCTCAGCTGAGTTGGGTTGACAAGGATATAGAATTTGGTAACATAGCTCATATTTTAATTTACACTGGACAGAGAACTCTGTAAGAAAGAAGTTGAACTTAATTCATATTTGTAATTATAGCTCAGATTTACACAACTCTGACAGATGGACTTGGTGGCTTTGACAAAAGGCCACATTGCAGGGAGGAGCAAGAAGGAAGGCTTTAGGTTTGGAGTTTAAATACTTTTTGACACAGCAGAAGCAGAAAGAAGATAGTGTGAGGAGAGCTGGGATGGTAAAGGGCAGTTGGGTGGAAATAGAGAAGCATTAAGTAGATTTCTTCCATTTAAAAAATCAAACTGATAAGATGTTGAATGTTGCTTTACATTTATGTTTAACTTAGTAACAGCAAAATAAATACCTCTTTGCTGGTAGTTAAAAAAGTTTGGAGCAAATTTTGCAAATAAATGCAGTAATTAAGATTCTGTACTATGATAGGCTTTATTATTAAATGAATATATGTGATCTCTGAGAGGCTTAAATCCATCTTAGGGTCAATTTACATGAAGGGACTTCTGGGCCCTGTGTAATTTACCTTGTGTCAACTATGTTTGCCAGACTTCTCTTCTCCGTATGCTTTCTGGTTAGGACTCGTCACATGAGAAATCTGCCTGAGGTTTAGAGAGCAGTGGAGTTAGGCAAAGGCCTTAACATTTGTAAGGTCAGTGCGGGGGTCCTGGGTGCAACTCAGACTTGTCACTAATCTGTTGATAGGAGCCTTCATGTGGTGGGGCAGCAGCTGGGCCCTCAGCTTCTCCAACTTATACCAGATCTCTTTCAATTTGAGTCTTGGGCCAACCACATAATAAAGGTTTGGAATGAGAAACAGACAAAATGGTACCAGTTTGTTCTCACAGGTTTGTCCTTACTCTGCCTACTTTGCTCCCAGCTCTCCTTCCTGACTGTCTGCCCTACAGTAACTTTAGACCCATCACCAAATGCACAGCCAACAGCCTTCCATAGGCTTCACCAGATCTCCTTTGTGGTCTTAGTGACTTTGATCCTTTAGGTGCTTGCTTCTGGACCTGTGTTTCTCAGCTTCTCCCCAAATTGTGTAAGGTCTCCTTTGGTAACTCCCTTATTCACATCTCTCACAGTGGTTCTGCATCCCTGGTCGAACCCTAACTGAAACAGGAACTGTGTCTGTGCAACACACCTCCTTACAATAACAGGAAATCTCCAAGGGATTACTCTGTAGGTACTCTCCAACCTAAATTTGGTTGAGAGCAAAAGAAAGAATAGTGAACTTTACAACAATCTAAGGTTGTCAAGTTACTGAAGTCTGTTGTCTCCTAAACTTGAATTAAAGATTCAATAGAAAAAAGGTTCACATTAATCAGAGAACAGATTGCTATGTTTATGAAATCTGGAAGAAGTAATATCTTTGTTTTATAGGACCATTAACAGGAACCGGGAAACTTTGGTAGAAAGGAATTGGTATGCTGATTGCATATCAATAAAAATATATTTGAAAAGTATTACAGACAGTGGGATGATTATATAAGACTTACCGCTTTTACCATAGGCAATTCTAAAATATATCTTAATAGGGATCTTGAGGAATTAAGTGTTGTGTCATTTAATTAAAGTAAAAATGTGAGATCAGTTAACTTGGCAATTACTTGTGTGTTTCAAAAGGAACAGAGGGAACTGTTCAGAAAGCAGGGAACATTGTTGCTGTGTTCTTAAATTTTTAAAAGACTTTATTTATTTATTTGACAGACAGAGATCACAAGTAGGCAGAGAGGCACGCAGAGGAGGGGCGGGAAGCAGGGTCCCTGCTGAGCGGAGAGCCTGATGTAGGGCATGATCCCAGGCAGCACTGGATCCCAGGACCCTGAGGTCATGACCTTAGCTGAAGGCAGATGCTTAACCCACTGAGCCACCCAGGTGCCCCTTAAATTTTTTATACTAGTGAGTGAAGTACTTTCCACATGAAAACCTCTAGTCAGTGGTTCTTGTGGAAAACAACATACTATTTAGTTTTCAAGAAGAGTAATTTTTTAAATTGAACCCTTGTGTCCCACAGGAAGTTGTATATAATACAGCATGATTTTGAGAGTATTTGCTTATTCTCCCTCATCATCACATTCTTCTAAAATATTAACATGGGGAAGAATTAAGAATCAAATTTTCTTCTCTATATTTTTCACTCAGTGATCATTATCATCAACTTGTGAGTTCAAAATCACAATTTCATGCAATTCCTTAGCCTGAATTCCTCATTCTCCACAAAGTGGAGACTCATTTAAGCACAGTATATTATGGTAGTAGAGGCAGGTGGGAGTGGGGCACCACCATGGGGGTGGGGTGTTGCATGAGGGCACAAGAGCTGATGACAGGCACTAAGAAGGCACAGGAAGGGATGCAGAAAAGGGCACTATTTATAAAATTTGGAAGATTAGACTAGAACTCTCATTTTCAAGTGTATTTTATTTGTACAACCATTTGTTTCTCTTCACCCAAAGCCATAAATTTATTAAGTTTATTACCTGTCGTTCAACTAATTGCAGGTGGCAATTTCATTCACCAAATACCTGATCCCTACATAATAAGGATTACCATTTTTCTAGCTCTACGTAACAGTTTCCATGCCACCCATTATCTGATGCCAAAGACAGGGTTATAGAGCAGCACCCTACATGTAGGTAGTGTTTCTGTATTAGTCAACTCTGCTATAATAAGAAAATCTTACAGACTTACAACACCAAAACTTTTATTGCTCATTTATGGGGCATGTAGCCTGTGGCCAGCTTTGGCTCTGTTCAAAGTGTCTTCTCATTCTGGGATTCAGATTAAAGGGGAAGTACCTATATGGGACCTTCCCATTCTTATGGCAGAGGGAAAGATCAAAAACCCTGGAAGTAGCTCCTGATGCTTTTTCATAAAGCTTCTGCTCAGCTGTGGCATATGTTATGTGTGCTTACATTCCAGTGACCAAAATATTAAGTGGCCAAGCCCAATGCCAATGAGGTGGAGAGGTATATTCTCCCTGCAGGAGAAATGGCAAGTCACGTAGCAATGTTCGGTCATCCTATTAGAAGGGAGAAGGTAGTGAATAATGGCGAACAAGATACGGTCTACCATAAACATGCATAAGCATTTCCTTTGCTCATATTTTTGCTTCAGACAGTTGCTCTGTTGGACCCAGCCTCTTTGCTCTTTAAGTTACATAATGTCTGGACCAATCACACCCTGGGTGCTAGCTTTGCTCTCTTTTTTAAAAATTTGTTTTTATTGAGGTATAATTGATACATATCATGTCAATTTCAGGAGTGAAACACAGTGATTCAATATCTGCATATATTGCAAAATGATTACTATGGTGAGATTAGCTAGCATCCATCACCATATGTAGTTACAAAAATTTTTTTCTTGTGATGAGAATGTTTAAGTTTATTCTCTCAAATATACAATGCAGTATTATTAACTATAGTCACCATATTATACATTTCATCCCCATGACTTATTTTACAACTATAAGTTTGGGGGTGCGTGGGTGGCTCAGTGGGTTAAGCCTCTGCCTTCGGTTCAGGTCATGATATCAGGGTCCTGAGATTGAGACCCGGGTCAGGCTCTCTGCTC